TTTTAATGCATTGCAATAGGTAAAACAGTGGAACTTCTTTGTATATATGTTTCTGTTCAATGAATGAAAAGGCAGATAGAAACACTTTCAATTCTTGTCGTCTCTTTCCATTGCAAACTCTCTCATTTTACTCTGATCATCTCTTCATCTGAGCCAACAATTGTTATCAGAGCTGTACTAATCTTAAGGGCCTGATAAACTCATCTCTCCTCAGTCACTTTCTCAACCTCTATTACAGTGAAACCACTTATTAAGCTCCACACAACCTGACTCAATGGCACAGCACACAACCTCCCTTACTCATCCAACCTTCAACGGTGATCAATACCACATATGGGCTGTCAGAATGAAAACCTTCCTCAGGGGATAAGGTTTATGGCAATATGTTGAAGAGGATTAACAACCACTAGCATTGCGGCCAAACCCCACTCTGAATCAGATCAGGTTGCACGATGAGGAAGCCACCAAGTCACCTAGAGCCTTGTCTCATATCCATGCAGTAGTGACTGAACAAGTGTTTACAAGGATCATGGCATATGAGACAGCCGAGGAAGCATGGGATAAACTCAAGGAGGAGTTCGATGGCAGTGATACAACAAAAAACATGCAGGTGTTGAACTTAAGGAGGGAGTTTGAAATGCTGAAAATGTAAGAGTCAAAATCAATAAAGGAATATGTGGATAGGTTGATGAATGTAGTGAATAAAATCAGATTAATGGGAGAAGAGATGACATATAAAAGGATAGTGGAGAAAGTCCTAGTTAATCTACCCGAGAGGTTTGAATCCAAGATATCCTCACTTGAGGATTCTAAGGACTTGTCACAAATCAATTTAGTTTATGCCTTGCAAGCTCAAGAGCAAAGGAGATTGTTGAGGCAAGAAGACTCGGGTGAGGGTGCAATGGTGGCAAGATTCAAAGGCAAACCAAGTCAGGGTGGAAGCGAGAGGCCTATGGGAGAAAAGAAACGAAAGGAGAAGATGGCCAACCAGTGGAGCAAACCCAGTGGAATGAGAGAACTTCCACCATGTGCTCACTGCAAGAAGAAGGGTCATGCTAAAAAAAAGGTGCTGGTTTAGACCTAACATCCAATGTAGAGCATGCAAACAATATGGTCACATTAAGAAGGTGTGCAAAAACAAACCGCATCAGTCAACACAGCAAGCACAAATTGTTAAGGACTAGCAGCCAAACTCAGATTCTGAGCACCTGTTTGTGGCTTCGTGCTGTCCAATTCAAGCCCACAATGATGCTTGGTTGATCGACAGTGCTATACTCATCAAATGATAGCATACCTGGAGGACTTTGTCAACTTGGACAAGTCATACTATTCCAAAGTTAAAGTTGCAAATGGAGAGTTTGTGGTTGTCAAAGGGAGAGGAGACATTGTTGCACAAACAAGTTCAAGTATCAAACTTATCCCTAATGTTTTGTATGTGCCTAATATAAGCCATAACTTGCTGAGTGTTGGACAAATGTTAGAAAGAAAGTATGGCCTGCACTTCTAGGATCAGTTTTGCACAATCCTGGACAGTGAAGGCAATGAGTGAATGAGGGTTAGAATAATGGGAAAAAGCTTCCCTATTAGGCTGAAAAAACTAGAACCATAAGCCTATGTTGTTGATGTGGATGAGTCAGAATTATGGCATAAAAGATTAGGCCATTTCAATTATCAGGGCCTTAGGGAAATTCAGACCAAAGAATTGGTCTGTAACCTGCCTGAAATTGCAGAAACCAAAACTGTATGTGCTATATGTCAGCTTGGTAAGATGAGTAGATTACCATTCCCTGCAAACAAAGCCTGGAGAGATGTTAAGAAGCTCTAGCTTATCCACACAGATGTGTGTGGACCTATGCAAACACCATCCCTAAATGGAAGCAAATATTTTATCTTATTCATTGATGACTACTCCCGGATGAGCTGGGTTTACTTTTTGAAATAGAAAAGTGAAGTTGCAACTATGTTTGAAAGCTTTAAACTGCAGGTGGAAAACCAAACTGGATTAAGCATCAAAACTGTTAAGAGTGATAATGGGAGTGAGTATACCTCCACTAAGTTTGAAACAATTTGCAGGCAAGCTGGAATTGTGCACCAGTTTAGCAGTCCTTATACTCCACAGCAAAATGGAGTCGGTGAGAGAAAGAATAGGACTGTCATGGAGATGGCCAGGTGCATGGTTGGTGAGAAGAAGCTGCCCAAATCCTTTTGGGCAGAAGTTATAAACACAGGGGTCTATTTGCTTAATAGACTCCCTACTAAGGCCTTAACTAATCAAACACCCTATGAGGCCTAGTATGGAGTGAAACCTTCGGTTAGAAATCTGAAAATCTTTAGGAGTGTATGCTATGCACTCATTCCAGCAGTTAAAAGAAGCAAGCTGGATAAGAAGGCTATGACAGGGATCTTTATAGGTTATAGTGAGTAGTCCAAGGCCTATAGAGTCTATGTTCCAGCAACCAAGAAAATTAACATCCCTAGAGATATGAAGGTAGATGAAAGAGGGTTCTAGAATTGGAAGAAAAATGAGGTTGAAGAAGACTCAATAGGGCAGATTATAAACACTACAACAGGTAGATTTGATGATCCAGAAGAGGCAGATTTAGATAATGATTTTCCAGTCAGGGGTACGAGGTCTCTGGCAGAGGTTTATGAGAGATGCAATGCAGCCTTGCTTGAACCAGCCAATTTCAAGGAGGCTACTAGGTCATAGGTATGGAGGAATGCAATGGAAGAGGAGATAAAAATGATTGAAAAGAATGGTACATGGGAATTGGTTGACAGACCAGCAACTAAAAGAGTAATTCAAGTAAAATGGATTTACAAAAAGAAGCTAAGGCCTGATGGATTAGTGTACAAATATAAACCAAGATTGGTTGTCAAGGGGTTTGCTCAACAATTTGGAGTAGACTTCTCGGATACATTTGCACCCGTGGCTAGGCATGATACAATTAGGCTTCTCCTTGCCTTGGCAACCCAATTTGAGTGGAGAATCTATCAACTAGATGTCAAATCTGCCTTCCTAAATGGTTGGCTCAATGAGGAAATCTATGTGGAGCAACTGAAGGGATATGAAGTGGAAAGGCAAGAGCATAAAGTCTATTTGCTGAGGAAGGCACTATATGGCCTGAAACAGGCCCCTAGAGCCTGGTATAGTAGAATTAATGAGTATTTGGTCAGCTTGGTACATGCAAGGAGTGCAAATGAACATACACTATATGTGAGAAGGTTGGAAAGTGAATTCACTATAGTGTCATGTTGATGACTTACTCATCATGGGAAGCAGCTCAACTCAACTTGAGGAGTTTAAATGGCCATGCACAATGAATTTGAGATGACTGATCTTGAGGAAATGTCCTATTTTCTTGGAATGGAGATCTATCGAAGTCACCATGGCATATTTGTTAATCAAAGGAGGTTTGACAATGAAATTCTGCATAAGTTTGACATGGACAGATGCAAACCAGTGGACACTCCACTGGTTGTAAATTTGAAGCTGAGCAAGGATGATGGGGCTAAGAAAGTTGATGAGAAAATGTATAGAAGTATGTTTGGTTGCCTACTGTACTTGATTGCCATTAGACCAGACTTGATGTTTGCAACCAGTGTTCTCTCTAGATTCATGACCAACCCGAGTGAAATCCATCTCAAGGCAGCCAAGAGGGTACTGAGGTATGTTAAGGGAAGTGTTGAGCTTGGAGTATGGTTCAAGAAGACTGAAAACTTGCAACTTATTGGGTACTCAGAACGGTTATTGGGCTAGAAGCATTGATGATATGAGGAGTACATCAGGTTATGTTTTCTTCTTAAATTCGGGAGCCATATGCCGGCATTCCAAGAAGCAAGACACCATTGCTCAGTCCATGGCAGAAGCAGAATACATTTCTGCTGCTGTTGCAGTAAACTAGGCTATATGGCTAAGGAAAATTATGCAGGATTTGAGGCAAATTCAAGAAGAACCGTGATATTTTGTGACAATCAGTCGGCTGTTGCAATGGCAAAGAATCCCATCTTACACGGGAGAACAAAACACATCAAAATCAAATTCCATGGTGTGAGAGAAGCAGAGAATAATGGTGAAGTGAAATTAGTCCACTGCAAGGGTGAAGAAGAAATTGCGGATGTTATGACCAATGGTCTACCTAAAACCAAGTTTGAGAATTTGAGACTTAGACTTGGTGTTTCCAGCAAGATTATCAAGGAGGAGTGATGAAATTGGTGATAACCTGCTGGAAATGGGACAAAATCTGACTGATGGCTTAAGTTGTATTTTGGTGCCAGACTTTCTATTTTTGTTTTGTTAGGCTACAGTAGTTGTGCAACAGATATTAGGCCAGTCATGTTAAGTTTATATGACATGTTTTGTTGAGATTAAGACTTGATTTGGTATATGTATTGGTTGAAATTCAAATGTAATATTTTAATGCATTCCAGTAGGTAAAACAGTGGAACTTCTTTGTATATATGTTTATGTTCAATGAATGAAAGGGCAGAGAGAAACACTTTCAATTCTTGCTGTCTCTTTCCATTGCAAACTCTCTGATCATCTCTTCATCTGAACCAACAAGAACAAGTTCCAATTCACAGTTAAGGGTGCCATTTCAAGAATGATTTTTGATCACTTACAACCATTCCCAACTGACAAGTGCTCGATCTAGTGGCTAAAGTGCAATTTACAATAAAAAGCTACATGTTATTCAATACAATGGTTATAGTACGTCAACCAAAACCCTATCCAAATTGTCGAATATATTCTTATGAATCTGGGCACCACCTATTTGATCTAGCTACTAGATTGCAGGGTTACCACCTATTTGATCTAGCTACTAGATTGCAGGGTTTATCATACGAACTATTTGCCTTGACGTTTTCTTCTGCAAATTTCAAGATGGAGTGGATATACATTGATTCATGTACTGGATTAAAAGAATAAATATACATTGTGATTCAAGTATAGAGTCATCTAACTTGTTGCTTTGAGACTTCAAAAGTTTTATGTGGTCCTCATGCAGCTTGATTTTCAGGCCTAGCATTTGTGGATCATCTTGAAGTCTCTACAAAGATTAGGATAGAGCAAAGCATAAGTCATTTGATCATTTTGTTTCAAATTGGACGTACTATTAAGAAAAACATATAAAACATAAAATTAGAACATACTAAAACATAATGCATCTAGCTATATCCTAAGTCAAAAGTGTAAACAAAATATGCTTTTTCTTTTAGAAAGAAAGTAAATGAAATTTTAAACTAGTTCCAAGATTTTCTTTTCCAAACAACCTGAGAATGGTAAAAGATAGCTTCTGCTTGTGGATTTCCTCCTTTTTGCATTCCAACTACAGAAGTTTCCTTTTGATCCACTTGCACTGATGCTAATGACTCTTGGATAGACAAAGCATTTGTTTGAATTGACAGCTGCAAATGAGAGGGACAATCATGGCTTTGCAACCATCAATTTACAGCAAAAAACATTACAGATGGAAATTACTGGTACATGCGCAGGATTTGACTTTCTCCTAGACTCTGCCACATATTTTCCATCCAAAACAAAGCAACAAGAAAACNATGCTTTTTCTTTTAGAAAGAAAGTAAAATAAAATTTGAAGCTAGTTCCAAGATATCTTTTTTTTTTTTTTTTTCCAAACAACCTGAGAATGGTAAAAGATAGTTTCTGCTCGTGGATTTCCTCCATTTTGCATTCCAACTACAGAAGTTTCCTTTTGATCCACTTCCACTGATGCTGATGAATCTTGGATAGACAAATCATTTATTTGAATTGACAGCTGCAAATGAGAGGGACAATCATGGCTTTGCAAACATCAATTTACAGCAAAAAACATTACAAATGGAAATTACTGGTACATGCACAGGATTTGACTTTCTCCTTGACTCTGCCACATATTTTCCATCCAAAACAAAGCAACAAGGAAACCAGAAAACAGGAAAATATAACAGGCTAGGTAGTTCCTGTTTTATTACATTTCAACATTAGTTTTGCAATAATGCATGAATCTTTCAAAGATGCACTAGTCTAAAACACACAGCCCCAAAGATGCCCTCTTCCAAAAAGAGAACTATATAAACTTTTGCAATCAAGGAATAGCTCGTCTACATCCAAACAAACTGACGCTACTACTTTTCAGTACTACCAAGATTTCAAGGAAAAAAAAAAAAAAAAGTGATATTTTCAACATCATAAATTATAATAAAAATTGAGATTGTCAAAATTATATTTCTAATTTTTTTAGCTTAAAATTATTTGCTACTAGCATTGGTATAGGAAGGTAAAAACTTCCAAGGTTTACGATATTCACAAAAAAGTTTCTCACATCAAAAACCTTTTTACGTCCTTCACTAGCTAGACTTGCATAGAAGCATCACAAAAGAAAATTTAAAAGAAAACTCATTAAAGTAATTCAATTCCTCACTGAAAGGACTAACACGCTTGACATAATAATTCAAGTTTGACCACGCAACATTCATGAGCAAAGAACTAAAAAAGGATCTCCGCGAATAGCAAGAACAATTTGCAATCAAGCATTGAACTTCCAAGCAAGATGTATTATCAATATCTGACAATTTATTAGTAAAGACTTGTAACCTCCTAGTTTCTCGGACATCATAAAACAATTTCTAATAGCAATTCTAGCCAACAATTAAGTTAGTTTAGCAGGTTGAAACTCTATGAGTTGTAAAAGAGACCTTGGAATGAAATCTCGCCCACAACAGGGTTCCAGCGGCTTTATTAGAATCTGCCCTGTTGTTTCCTCCTCACTTTGAAGGTTGAAATGGTCCTCATTCTCAGTCTTAGGTCCACTTGAAGAATGATACTTGCCAAGAATAACTGATAGAAAGCTTATCAGAAAAAAAAAACAAGTACAAAAACAAAGATCAAAGTGTGTCATACAAAACTAAAACGAGTCAAAACCTCAAAATACTTCAAAATTTGAAGTCAATGAAAGATTTTCTCCAAGTAAATAGATTTCACCTGAATTCCATAATCCCTTATACCTTCCCTTTTTTGATGCATAAACTGTGTGACTAAGTTTACCATCTAGATTTTCAATAAAACATTACATGATATAGTAGTTACATTTAAGGGTGCCATTTCACGAATCTTTTTTTATCACTAACAACCATTCCCAGGTGACAAGTGCTCGATCTAGTGGCTAAAGTGCAATTTACAATAGAAAGCTACATGTTATACAATACAATGGTTATAGTACGTCAACCAAAACCCTATCCAAATTGTCGAATCTATTCTTATGAATCTGGGCACCACCTATTTGATCTAGCTGCTAGATTGGAGGGTTTATCATACGAACTATTTGCCTTGATATTTTCTGCTGCAAATTTCAAGATGGAGTTGATGTACATTGATTCATGTACTGGATTAACAGAATAAATATACCTTGTGATTCAAGTACAGAGTCATCTAACTTGTTGCTTTGGGACTTCAAAAGTTTTATGTGGTCCTCATGCAGCTTGATTTTCAGGCCTAGCATTTGTAGATCATCTTGAAGTCTCTACAAAGATTAGGATAGAGCAAAGCATATGTCATTTGATCATTATGTTTCAAAGTTGGACGTACTATTAAGAAAACATATAAAACATAAAATTAGAACATACTAAAACATAATGCATCTAGCTATATCCTTAGTTGGAAGTGTAAACAAAAAATGCTTTTTCTTTTAGAAAGAAAGTAAAATAAAATTTGAAGCTAGTTCCAAGATATCTTTTTTTTTTTTTTTTTTCCAAACAACAGAATGGTAAAAGATAGTTTCTGCTCGTGGATTTCCTCCATTTTGCATTCCAATACAGAAGTTTCCTTTTGACCACTTCCACTGATGCTGTGAATCTTGTAGACAAATCATTTATTTGAATTGACAGCTGCAAATGAGAGGGACAATCATGGCTTTGCAAACATCAATTTACAGCAAAAACATTACAAATGGAAATTACTGGTACAAGCACAGGATTTGACTTTTCCTTGACTCTGCCACATATTTTCCATCCACAAACACAAGCAACAAGGAACAGAAAACAGGAAAATATAACAGGCTAGGTAGTTCCTGTTTATACATTTCACATTAGTTTTGCAATAATGCATGAATCTTTCAAAGATGCACTAGTCTAAAAACACAGCCCCAAAGATGCCTCTTCCAAAAAGGAACTATATAAACTTTTGCAATCAAGGAATAGCTCGTCTACATCCAAACAAACTGACGCTACTACTTTTCAACTACCAAGATTTCAGGAAAAAAAAAAAAAAAAAGTGATATTTTCAACATCATAAATTATAATAAAATGAGATTGTCAAAATTATATTTCTAATTTTTTTAGTTAAATTATTGTACTAGCATTGGTATAGGAAGGTAAAAACTCAAGGTTTACGATATTCACAAAAAAGTTTCTCACATCAAAAACCTTTTACAGTCCTCACTCATGACTTGCATAGAAGCACAAAAGAAAATTTAAAAGAAAACTCATTAAAGTAATTCAATTCACTGAAAGGACTAACACCTTGAATAATAATTCAAGTTTGACCACGCAACATTCATGAGCAAAGAACTAAAAAGGATCTCCGCGAATAGCAAGAACAATTTGCAATCAAGCATTGAACTTCCAAGCAAGATGTATTGACAATTTATTAGTAAAACTTGTAAGTTCCTAGTTTCTCGGATCATAAAACAACTTAACAGCAATTCTAGCCAACAATTAAGTTAGTTTAGCAGGTTGAAACTCTAGGGTTGTAAAAAGGCATTGGAAACAATCTCGCCCACAACAGGGTTCCAAGCTTTATATATTTGTAGTTTTTTTTTTCTTAAAAAGAATAAAAATTCCAAGCATTTACAAATCAGTACTCCTTTTTTTTTTTTTTTTTTTTTTTAAACTTCTCTATAAATGTTGTGGGTTTCAGAAAAATCAAATTCTTAGATTAAACAACACTCTAGCTTGTTCTGTGTAGTTAAAAAGACTCCAACATTGAATCTTTATGTTCTTAGCATTATAAAACCTTTCCTTCGATACAATTAACGATTGTAACATTTAACTTTTCATGATCAATAAAATTATCCACAAGAAGCAAAATCTAAAGATTGTTCCTGGTTAAATTAAAAAGTCAAACGTTTTTCCTCTTTAGCTAGACATATAAAACCAAAAGCTACAAAGTAATGAGTGACTAAGAATTTTCCATCAACCAATACATCCTTGAAATTACAATACACAACTAAAATATGAGATTAGCATTAAGCTTTTAATATGTTATTGTTTCGCTGGACTAATATTAGGCATTAGTAATAAAAGAATATCATTATCTTTTTCGTCCTTGCAAGTAAATATCCAAAACAAAAAAAATGCAATTAGATAAAGACACATATCACTTTTTCCATATCCAGCCATTACTTTCATGAGGCCACTAAGGTCAACACATCCATAACTGTCCACCTATGTTTACAAACTTTTTCAAGACATTTAGATCATGTAGTAGACAAAAGTGGTAAACTCCAAATGCAATAGAACAATTATAGTATTAGCTTATCATGCATAAGCTGTTAGATAAACAAAACAGGCTGATGCACATCATATTGTCATATAAGGGAACAAGAATTTGATTAACTCTTTGAACATTTTAACATTACTAATTTAGACATACATACTTTTAGATGGGCCTTTAGGGTGTCTTTGTTACATTATATTGCACAGCATTAAAACTTTAATATTACATGACCCAGTTCTAAAGACATGTCTTACCTCACAATGCAATCCATGTATATTTATGTGAAATTGACAACCTAATGCTTTTCGTTAGAGTAGGACAAAGTTTGTATTGGTAACCTTAGAATTGACAATTACCTGTCTTTCGTCATAGTGTGATGGAGATGTTAAGTCTAAGATACGTGTATCAACCTTATAATACATGCACTATTTATGTAGGACTTACACAACAGAGAATTAAATTTATTGTAGAATGTTTTTTAATTTATAGTTCATACTTTGCTGTCTTTCATAAGAGTAAGATGAAAATGCAAACTTTGGACACATGTATGGACCCCATAATACATGCACCATTTAAGTAGAATTTACACAATGACAATGAATGAACCTACGATAGAACTATGAGTCTAAATTCACTACTAGAAAAACCCATTTTCTTGACGGGTAATAACCGTCAAGAAGGGAGTTTCTTGACAGTTCTTCATCCGTCATTGAAGCCAGTGTCAAGAAAGGGTGGTGACCGTTTTCGAACTGTCAAGAATTTCTTGACAGTTATAACTCGTTAAGGATTTGGCCAAAATTTAACCAATCCCTGACAATCTTTAAACTGTGAAGAGATTTTAACAAGAAAAAAAAATTAATTTAATAATAATAATAATAATAATAGTCAAATTTTATTAACAATAATTTTCCATCCTTGATAGTTTTAAATCTGTCAAGGATTTTTTTATAAATATTTTTATATTTTAATTAGTTTATTTTCCTAATTATTACCAATTAAATAATGCAATAATGCAATGAAATTATTCATAATATTCCTCAACCAAAACAACAATTATCACAATTCAACAATAAATTTAGACACTCAATAATCTTTCAATCAATTTATTAAAAGAAATTGAACAATAGTATATATACATGAATAAAAGACCCATGGCATTAGGGCATCAATAATTAAAAGTTTGATACATTTTTTGCATCTCCCTCTTCATCACTTAAAGGCTGGGCATCAAAGGTATTCAACACAACCTACACACCTCAAATATAGAAAATAAAATTGTTTTCTTGAGCTATAAACATTGTAGTATTAAAAGAAATTGAATTAATTATCTAAAAAGCAACGAAAGAGAGAAAAGGGCAAGTACTTTGCCACGAGAGAGCACGGTAGAATTGAGGGAGCAATGCTAGGCTTCTCTGCAACCTGAGAAATGTATATTACAAATACTGAGAAAGAAACAATGGAGCAAAAGAAATCTATTCAATACATAATGCCAAAGAACTCAACAAGGCACAAGAAGCAAAGAAAAGATAAATCAATACTGCTAGTTATTTAGGATAGCCAAAGAACTTAAAGCAAAGACATAATGCGGAACTCAACAAGCAATCAATAAGGCAACCCAAAGTTTGAATGTCAAGACAAAAAGTGCCATCAAACACAGAATCAATGTAACAACAAAATGGACACCTCTTCTTCTAGGGCTCCAGACACAAATAAATTTATTTAACTGTGAAAACATACCCCATGGGAACTCCTTGTTGCGAATGTGGAAATATGGGTACAGTTGCAAATCATTTTGATAATTTGAGCTTACAATTTGGCATATTGAACTTAGTATTCAGAATGAATTAGCAAGCATATAAACCACAAGCATAAGCATATAAACCACAAGCATTAATCAAATATTTCCATAGATAAGACCTTCCCAATAGAGATTAGACCATGCAAACAGAGATTCTAACCAGAGACATGTACATGCATTCACATACACACGTGACCTTTTTAAAAAAATATATATATGAACATACATATGATTTTAAAAGGCTCAGTGACAAAAAGATATAACTCATTAAACAACAATGATTAAAATAAAAGAAAAAAAAAATATTACCACTAAGCTTGGGCGTCAATCACTTTATCCTCTACATCATTAGTTGCTTCCACTCCCTCAACATTCTCCACAGGCGGCTGTGCCTTCTCATCCTCACGCAAGGGCTCTTCCACATAATCATTCTCAAATGCATCTGGTGGAACCTCATAGATCCTCATTTGTGGCTTAGACGGATCCTTAACAAGCATATACTTCCCCTCATTCAACTTCATGTACAAATCCACAATGCCCCACAGATTTGCAGTACTCAAATTAATCTGGGTAGCAAAATCCCGAGGCTTATACCCCATAACAGCCAATATTACATGGTTACAATAATCATGTGGGTGAACCCTCGAAACATATCCCAATTTCATCAGATCAGCACTTTCCAACAAAGCTTGTGTTGTCCACTTTGCCAACTTATTTGCGTTGTTCTTCAACTCAGTGGCTAAAACAGCATCCCTCTGAGTCTCTAACTTCTGCCTCCAATCAGCACCAGAATATTTTGAATCAAACTCATTAAGCGCATTCAATGTAAAAAATGACCTCTGATTGTTAACATCCACAACACTGTACCTCACACAAAGCAACAAGATGCATATCATCACCAAGCTTCCACCTCCTATATTATAAGAAACCGAAGCCACCTCCTCTCCTATACCTATAAGCCACTGAAGCCACATCCTCTCCTAGCAAACAGGTTCGGCTCATCAAAGATTAACTCGTTCCCATCTCTCACCAAAACTTGCTGTGAAAAGTTTTGATTAATATAGGCAGCCTCAACACCCAAAGAATATGCCGAGTTAATATCATCTTTAGCTTCAGACAACGGTTCTTGAGAAGTCTCATGCACTGATAATAAATCTAACTGTGACCCATCTCTTTTATCAAAAAATAATTTATTGCCAAGTCATTGAATTACAATATCCCACGAACAAATTGACCTGGGTGCGCACATAAGCGTAGCT